TAGTCAGTTCCAGACTCTTAGGTTCAAAAGAGAGCGTGATTCGTATAAGCAAATATTGGATTCAGCAGATTCTAATCATCAAAAAGGAAATTATAAGAATCAAAATAATGATAACCAGGTAATATCTATAATTGCCTATTTGTATGGTTTTTAGTTTTCCGATATGACTAAACTTTTATTTATTTAAAATTTAAATTGTAATCTTTAGAAAGAAGAATTCTACGTTTTACAGCAACAAGTATCTTGTATGGAAGAACAACTTTCAGAAGCAAGACTTGAATGTTCAAGGTTAAAAACAGAATTGGTGTCAGAAAAATCAGCCTGGGAAATAACAAAATCAGAAATGACGTCTTGTATTAATAAAGTCTGTTTAATGCTTTTTAATATACATTTTTATAAAAATTAATTTTTAACATTTTAGTTGGAAGAAGAACGACTATTGAATTCAGGCAGATCTAAATTAACAGGTTTAAAGGCTAGAATGGAGCTTGCATGGCAAAAAGAACGTGAAGAACAACAACGTCTTTTACAAGAGACATCAACATTAGCTAGAGATTTAAGACAAACATTATACGAAGTAAATTAAAATACTGTTTTATACAGTTTATAAATACATAAGTTATTATGTTTATGTTTAACCTCTTATTAACATTTTAAGGTTGAACGAGAGCGAGATAAAGATCGTTTAGAATCAAAAAGACGTATTGATCAGCTTACAAAAAATATTGAGGTTGACCAACAAGAAAATAGGAAAAAAACTAATGAGGTTAGATTGAATTTTAATATAGATAAAATGTTCTAAATATTTTAACTAAAAAAAAAATATTTTTATTATATCATTGTTTTATACTAAACCAATTAAATATTTTTAATATTATTAAATTTACCTACATCTTATGATATAATATTAATAAATGTAGGTAAATAATGATGGACTAAAATATGAACTATTATAATTTTATTACGTACTTAGGTACCACTACATAGTTGATATATATTATCTCAATAATGAATTTAAATATTAAATAATAAATACTTTCCAACTACAGAATATATTTACCCACACAACTATAGTAAAATGTGTTATCATTATTTATTTGTTTATTAGATGCAATGTGATCTTATGGATTTACGAGATGCTCATGCAAAGTTAAGAACGATAAATGAAAAATTAAGAAAAGAAAAAGACAAAATTGAACAAGAATGCGAGTCATTAAGATTATGCAATGTTCGACTAAGAACTGATCCTCAGCTTGAGGTTAAAATTAATAATTTATCACAGTTAATTAAAAGTTTAACTATGATGGTAAATGAAAACTGTGAAAAAGCAAATAAATCTTTAAATTCGATAAATGCACCAACACCACCAGCTAGAAGAAAATCATCCACGTCTAGAGAAGCATCACCAGATTTAAATTCCAATCAAACAGTAAATAACAATAATAATAATGAACACATCAAACAATTATTAACTAAAGTTAATGAGTTGACTAAAGAATTAGTTATGAATACAAATCAACAAGATGTCAGATCAAAACGTGCAGTTTTTGGAGTCAGGTAAAATGTATTGTAATTAATTATTTTTCATTATGAAAAACTGAAAATATTTAAATTCAAACATAAAAAAAAATTATTTCATAAGAACTCAACAGTCTAATTATTAAGTTATATACATTTAATAATACAATAAATTTAAACAAAAATTATTATAACAATGTTACTAAATAATTTATGTATGCAGATATATATTATATACACATATGTTATACATTTTTTATTTATTATATTGATTTAGCTGATTTTATTTTTTTTATCAAACTTATTTGTGTAGATAAATTAATGAAGAAATAACTGTTTTAAAAGGATGTGATCCCGTATGTCTTACAAGTGTATAATGTGGCAAATTTTACGCTGAGCAGATCACGTTAAGCTCTGGTAGTTTAAAATTTTGAGCGAATTGATCTCTAACAAAATTAATAATTTAAAGAAAGATTATTATCTAGTCTATCTATAAGGCTTTTTTTCATATTATAATTTTAATTTGAGTTCTGAGTATTTTAAAATATACAAGCAATTTACAATTTTAAAATACTCATAACTTGCTTTTAAATTCAAACATGATAAAAAGCCTTTGAGATTGACTAGATAATAATCTTACCTTTAAATTGTATAAGAGGTCAATTCACTGTAAATTCTTAATTAACAAAGTTAAAAGTGATCTGATGAATATAAAATTGCCTATGTTATATTGTTATACACTTGTAAGACGGAGACAAGGCAATGTGTGTATCATGTTTTCTTAACAAATATGTAAAGTACTTAATTTTTTGTGACTATATGCAGATTTTTATTTCTTAAACTGTGGAATTTGAGCGTATTAAAAAATATTTTCTAACACATCAGAAGTCAGGTCATAACCTAATGATAATTTTGGACAAATTGCAGTTAAAGACAAATTAATATACGGTAATAATTTAATTATTTTTATTTAATGTATAGGTCGTCATCAACTGAAAATGATTTTAATGATAAGCCTCCAATAAGAGGTAGCTTGTATAGAAAAAGTCTTTCATTAGAACAAAATTTTGGGAATACTGATCAAGTGAGTTACCGAGTTCTAAGTTATCTAAAAATAAGGTAATTAAGTCAAATGATCCCTATTTAAGATGTTCAATATTTTTAGGATATATGGAAAAGAGATGAACGAAATCAGTCAAGAAACAGACTTACCAAACAACCAAATAGTTTTGATAGGTAATATTTTAATATTTCCTAAGTTGGCAAATATAGAATTTATAGACATGTCATTTGTTTAGTTAGCTAGTATGAAACCTAATATATAGAAATTATTTTGACATAGTTCTAAATCAGTTCAAAATACAATGTACTTAGTACTTACCTATGTTATTGTAGCTCAGTAACTAATTGATGTTTAACACTTAAGATATTTTGAAATATAAAAATTGAACAAGATTATTAATTTTTAGTCACCATTCAAATAGTTCTTCCAAAAGTGATATTATAAGTGGAGAAAAAACTAAGAAAACAGGACTTTTCGGCAAGCTAAAGAAGTTAACTAAAAGTTCAAAAAGCTTTGATAATGATAGCGATTCGGTATGTATATTAAATAAGTTATAATTTTAAATTTAAATTATTCATTTTTATCACAGTCCTTTAAAAGCAATTCCAATATTTACAATGTTGATGTATCTTCTAATAAGGATTCCAGAGGAAAACTTACTGATGCATTTAAACCTTCGACATTACCTAAGTAAATAAAAAATAATTATAGATATGCTATTATATTAATAATTAATACTTTTCATATTTTTATTAATTTAAAAAACTAGCTTAAAAAAGAGAGCAATGTCTCCTTCAATATTTAGAAGGTCAGAAAGTTCAAGAACATCTCCATCACCATCAGTACGTTCAGATGAATACGAAGAAATCTCTTAGATAGTTATTATTTATTAGAAATCGTAAAATGTCTGTAGTGTTACAATATGATCTGTTGCACACAAGTGCAATTTGATCTGGTATAAGGGCAACTATATTACTTAAAGTATTATATTCTTTATGTGATATGTCTTACATGTATTAAGTAGGAGTAATTATTATTGTTTGTGTAATGTTTTTTGAATAAAAACAATTTGATTTTAATTTTCTCTCTGAGCTATTAGATATTAATTCAATTTTAGTTGTGTATGTTTCACTTAATGTAGCCAAAACCAGCGGAATGTGATAAATATTGTTTTACAGTTTAATACGCTCATATTGTATGTTGTGCACAAGTTCTTATTTTTTTTTTTTGAGAATATTTGATTTTAATATGCAGAATATTATTAAATATTTTTGATTGTGCGGTACAATGAAAAATAAACAGGATAATATGGAAATAATTTTAATAATTTTAAAAATATTAAGTAATTCAATAACTTTTGTAACAACTGCATTGTGCATAATTAGTTTGTTAAATACATTGTATTATTGATATATTTACTTAAGTGAAAAAATATACTATTACTCTATAAATTAATAACTGCATAATACTTTTTAGGGTAATAATGAAAGTATATTATTTAATATAAAAACTTGTGATTATTTTAATAAATATTAATTTATCAAAAATTAAATTATTTTATTATCTTTACAAAATTACAGGATTAATAAAAATGTTATTTTTTGACAACTACGTAACAGCTGATACTATTAGGAGTATTTTCCATTTTTCCATTTAAAATGAGTTTAGAATTTCAAATGAGTCATTAATAGTTTTAGTTTAAATGGTAAGGTTATGATTATTAATATAGCAATAGCATATGATGCAATTTTATGATACTAAAAAATGTTGAAAATTTGTTAATATAGTTTAAAGGAATATATATTTTTTAGAATATTTCAAGGGATAAGAAATATATCAGAATGTTTTGTCAGTTTCTAGAGAAATTTCTTACTCTCTTTCTTACATATTTAATTTTGAAACTTACCCTTATACCAATTTTATCATTTACAAAATATTAAAACCATTTTTTTATTATGATACTTTAAATATGTGTTTTTTTTACAATTGTTATTCATTTTTCATTTTATGATATAATATATTGTTTACATATTTTAATGTTCATTGATTTTTTTCAATAAAAGATTTCTTCCTCAGTTTTAAGAGGTTATAGTGTATTAGTGTATAACTTTATGCTTTTTTTAGATAATATTAACATTACAATTTAAATATTTAGAATTTAATTATAGTTATAAATTTTAATAAGCAAATCAGTGGACTAAAATTTTTTGTATGGTTTTATTTCATTTTGTTTATTTAAACTTTTAAACTTACCTAAAACTTATAAATTGATTATTAGTACCTAATCGAAATAATTAAGGAAAATATTCAGCTTTGGAATAAAAAAAAAACAAAAAATCAATGAAATTCAAAAATCTTATCTGTGTACAATTATTGTTATCAGACATCAATTATGGTATTAAAATACAACAAGTACATATTTAGATATTATGTTACATATTTATTAAGTATATTTAGCAAGATATATGGTTTTCACAATTTCCATAAACAACTTTCTAAATTATTTGTTATAGCTACAATTCATCTTTCAAATTAATAAGTTTTCATTACAATTTTGTGCCATAGAATGAGTGGTTTGGTCCTTTTCCATATTTATGCCAATCAATTCCAGTAACTGAAGGCTTATTTGATAAACTTTCAAGGCCCTTAAATTAAAATTACCATTGTAAAATGTAGGATTATTTAACATTAAATTTTGAATTAGAATAAAATATGTGTATATTACTTGTGCTTTGTATGGATCACCAGTTAATTCCCAGTCTCTGGCATAATATCTTTGAAGCCATGGTTGACTAATATCACGTCTGTAAACCTAAAATGATATATATATATCATAAATTTGAAAATGTCTTTATTATAAATGTTAAGTTTGTCCAAGACAACATATAAACATTTAAGTATTATTCAAGGAATTTACTTTTTACTAAGTATAAACACTTTTAATTTATTGGTAAAAAAAAATATGACCTACAAATTAAAAACTGTATCAGTCATTATGCAAATGTTACCATAGGCGCCCGCAGGGGAGGGCATGCTAGGGAATTTGCCCCCCTTGCTTTTTCAAAATATTTTTTTAAATTGAATGTTTTAAGATAAATTACTATATACTATACAACAAATTTAAAGTATAAAATAAGTTGTAATATAATAAAATATAATATATTGTATACGAGTATAATAAAAAAGGTTATTATTTTAAAACACCTAGTAAAATTATAATATTTATCCTCAAATCCTAACACTGCTCCCCCCTAGAAACATTTCAGCGGGCGCCTATGAATGTCACATATAAGTTGAAAAAGTATTTAGCAATGCCAATAGGCGTAATCTGGGGCAGGGGTCAACGGTGGTTTTTTACTTAATAGATTTTTAGTTTTACCAGACTGTACCCTTCAAGAATTTACGTCAGTAAATGTTAATGAGAGCGCTAACAGAATTATCTTAATCTTAAGGTAATTATCCAATTATTTATCCATATATTTATATATATTGTGAGACTAGGGAATGCAGATACTCACATTATTGTAAACCAACTTATTTGACAAAGAGTTGATCTTGTCAGGTATACTCAACAGCACGTACACGATGATGGCGGACGGTAAGGCTTCGTACCACATTTCGAAGTCACCCCGTGTACAAACGGTATGAAATTTGAAAAATCCGTCGTACTTGTAAGCCGAATTTCTTTTTCAATCCGTATTCCGCATCCAAATATTTTTTTATTCTATTCTTATCATAAAAAATAACCCTAGACGGCGACGACCTCGAGCCGAGATAAACAACAGATGATTGAACACGTTCACCAACCGAATGTGACCGTGGCAGCTGCAAATTTGCAGCTGCCACGGCTCCAGACCGGATCGTCGGCCCGGCGGCCGCACTGTTTATCTCAATGGCGTTTGTTTGTTTACTGGCCATTTGCGATTGGCTCCGATCACATTAGCTGCTCAAAATGTACGGTGCGTTTTTTACGTTTCCGACTCGCGTATACGGCGATGTTCTAAATAGTAAATAGTAAATAACAATAATAATTTGCCGGTCTATGCCGACGCCGACGGTTTTTTAAATTACATTTTATCACATCACTAGTCCGCATAATCCGCCCGTGCACCGTTAGCGGCGTCACTGGTGTTGGTATTTTAATTTTTTAAGCCGTGTTTTTTAATTCTGTTCGTTTCCCACGGTATATTCTTCAACGGTTGTCCGTGCGCAACAAATAACACCGCCAATACCAGTTCACCGTTGGTCGCACGCATGTATTGTTGACGGATAAATTGTGTCSCCCGGATCTCAACACCAGACCGTCGACGGCCCGCGCTTTTTTTTGGGGGGTCCTAGTTAGCCGTACGCCACACGCACTCCGATAACTCCAAGAATTACCTAATTCATCGGCCTGACCTAGGACGCCGCAATGTCCATCACTCCGTTCAAAAAGAGAGTCTGTTATTATTACGACAGTGAGTATTGTTTAAATCGTTAAAATTGTTTTATGCCTTGGATGTCACCGTTCAATGCTTCCGACGCTCCAGCAACAACCTAGACGACCCTTGTTATAGTGTCTGGCCAGCTACAGTTCAAGTGTTTCTCCGGCTCTGTCATTAGTCTCTGCACAACCGGCATAAAGTTGTAGCCATACCTAGTCTGTTTAGGTTTTCTTTTTTTWAAATTCTTTCCTATATTTCTAGATGATATTTGCATAATAGTAACTATCTCTAACATTGTATACAGGAAAACCATGGCAGGCACTTACAAAGCTAAATTATTCAAGTTAGGTATCAGTTTTTTTGTTATCATCGTTACATTTAGTATTTCTATGCACACAAAATAATTATACACATGTTAAGAAGTACAATAATTTTTTGAAATTCTCTTATGTGTGCTATTATGTCTTTGTCAAAATCTTAAATTTATTCCATTCTGTAGAAACTACCTATTTCTTAAAATCTTAACTACCTACACTGAATACGCTAGTTAATAATTGTTGATGACTTTAATTACTCTATGTAAAGATTAAAAGTAATTATATGTAATTTAGTTGATTATACAATTATTTATAGTCAAACTTTTATTTATGCAAATTAGGTATAGGTGTAATATTAAATATAAATTCTGAAATTTGACTTATATTCCTACACATTTTGTTAAGTTGCATTAAACTACCTCACCTCACTTGATAAAATATAAATTTTAAAACTTACAGTATTGATTTAAATCGGGATTTTAACTTAAATCTCCTCTTTGGTAAGCATAGTTCATCTTACACTTATTATTTTTATGTGCCTATAATGTGTTAGCAAATATTCATAGTTTTGACTAACAAACGTTAAAAAATAAATAATGAATTAAAATAAACTAGGTACTCTCAAACAGTAAAAATGTTTGTTTGATCGTACTTTTATTTGCTTAATTGATTAATTTTTATAATCATTATAGCCAAGATACCTTTTACTTATACTACTGTACATTGAATTTATATTTTTCTATGATCTGTTGTGTTTTTAAATGTTTAAATTATGTTTCATTTTTAGTTAAATCAGACAAGAACTTTAAATTCTAAATATAAATTAATTTTAATTTTTTTTTTTTATATTTATTTAATTATGTAAATTTAAGCTTGCATAACATTTTGTATAGTATTGAAACAAATATAACTACACATATCTATTATGTAGTAAATAAGTACCTAGTTAAAAGATGTTTACCTATTGTTTATTATGTTATGTTTATAAGTTCTATGAATTGATTTTTTTTCACTTGCTTATACATACCCAGCCGTCTTATTTATCTTGATGTATTTTTAAAACTTAATATATACTTACTTTGCGAGCTAATTTGTTTATCTTAAATTTTCATTTTCTAAAATACTAAATAGTATATAAATAATTAGGTATTGTATAAGATAATTTAGTAATATTAAATTTGTATTAAAGTTTTTGTATTTATGCTTGCTTTTAATTGACCAAAAACTTTTTCAATCAGATATTTTTATGAAACCTACTATTTTAAATTTTTTGCAGGTGATATAGGGAATTATTATTATGGACAAGGTCATCCTATGAAACCACATAGGATTCGAATGACTCATAATTTGCTTTTAAATTATGGTTTATATCGAAAAATGGAAATATATGTAAATAAAGTTTGATATATTATTTTAATTTTAATGATATTTTTCAATTAGTTATTTACTAATAAAATTCATGTTGATGATTTAGAGACCTCATAAAGCAACTGCAGAAGAAATGACCAAATTTCATAGTGATGAATATATACGATTTTTACGAAGTATTCGTCCAGATAATATGAATGACTATAACAAACAGATGCAAAGATGTATGTAACTATCACTTTTACTCAAATATATCCGTAAATATTGGTTAAGATAAATAAACTTAGATGGTTATTTCCTTTTTTTATAGTCAATGTGGGTGAAGATTGTCCGGTTTTTGATGGTTTGTACGAATTTTGTCAGCTATCTGCGGGTGGTTCAGTAGCAGCAGCCGTAAAGTTAAATAAGCAATCTGCAGATATTTGTATCAATTGGGGAGGTGGTCTCCATCACGCTAAAAAATCTGAAGCCAGTGGCTTTTGTTATGTTAATGATATTGTACTTGGTATATTAGAATTGCTTAAATACCATCAACGAGTATTGTACATTGATATTGATGTTCATCACGGTGATGGTGTTGAAGAAGCATTTTATACTACTGATAGAGTTATGACAGTTTCATTCCATAAATATGGCGAATATTTTCCTGGTACTGGTGATCTCAGAGTAAGTTAATGAAAAGTAAAATAATTGACCTGTCATTTAATGAATTAGTTCTTATGTAGCCTCTTAAATACCTTTAAAATGATAATGTTCATAATTCATTAGATTTATGTATGCAGTTAAATAATTTAGTTGAGTATGTATCAAATTAATATTTTGATTAATTTTGGTTGTTTATTTTGTATTATGTATTATGGAATTTTTAATTTATTTGTCTTCAAAAGTTTTATCAGTTACTACATTAATACAAGTGTATAATGTGCATAATTATGTTAATATTTTTCTGTCTACTAAAAAAATGTTTATTAACTATTTTGTAATGTTTTCTTTATTTAAGGACATTGGTGCTGGAAAAGGAAAATACTATGCAGTTAACATTCCCTTAAGAGATGGAATGGATGATGATAGTTATGAATCAATATTCGTACCTATAATTACTAAAGTAATGGAGACGTTCCAACCTAGTGCAGTTGTTTTACAATGTGGAGCAGATTCACTTACAGGAGACAGGCTTGGATGCTTCAATCTGACTGTTAAAGGTATGATAGTTTTATTTTAATAAACTGATAAATTTAAAACTTAAAACTTCATTGAATATTTTTAGGTCATGGTAAATGTGTCGAATTTGTGAAACGATATGGTTTACCATTTCTGATGGTTGGTGGAGGTGGTTATACTATCCGAAATGTATCTCGATGTTGGACGTATGAGACAGCTGTAGCCTTAGGAGCTGAAATTGCTAATGAATTGCCGTACAATGATTATTTTGAATACTTTGGACCTGATTTTAAACTACATATCAGTCCTTCAAATATGACCAATACAAATGCTACCGAGTATTTAGAAAAAATTAAAAACCGACTTTTTGAAAACTTACGAATGCTACCTCACGCTCCAGGAGTTCAAGTCCAAGGTAAATTTTATCATACTAATCATTTTAAGTAAATAGTTAATTTTTAATACAAACATGACTCTTGAATGATTTTTTATTATTTAATACTTATTTTTATTATCAGCTATTCCTGAAGACGGTGTACGTAATGAGTCTGAAGATGAAGATAATGTTAACCCAGATGAAAGGAATCCTCAGTCCATAACAGACAAACGAATTGCACCTGACAATGAGTTTAGCGATAGTGAGGATGAAGGAATGGCTCCTGGAGTAGGGGGTGGTGGCCGAAAAGATAACAGGTATAGTCACTATTACTATATTTACTATTATAATATTCCATGTATAATATTATTTTTGTTTTAGATCTTATAAAACGGTAACACCTGCTAGAAAACAAGCACGTTTGGACTCTAATAGAATGGAAGTAGATGAACCTGAATTTAATATTCTAAAAGGTAATTACTTTTTTATTTTTTATATGACTTTTCCAACATAATAAAAAATGTCAATCAATTTGTAATAGCTTAATGTAAATTTTTAAATTCCTATTGTATATGTCGGTCATTTTAAATTTAAATGTAGAACTACTGTGACATTTTTAATAACAATTTCATAAAAATAAAACGGTTTGTTAAAGAATGTAGTTTTTAATTTTTAGCATAAAATATTAACTAATTAATGTTCCAACACATTGTAGTCTTGTATGAAGGTTGCTCGCTTGATAAATCACCACTAAATCTTTCCCTTTAAATAATGACTATTGGATTTGTCTAATGAATGTAAATTGTTTGTTTTGAATTTATTATTTAGTGTAGTAATGCACATTGTGAGAATTTTTTTTATATTTTGTGTTAACATCTTGTTTTATTTTTTACATAGATATTAATTAATTTAATAGAATAATGTATGCTACTTACAGTAGAGGGAAACATTATGTTACTCTAAATCAATTACTTCTCAATTTTAGATACTTAGTGGAGTGATGAATGTATTGATTTTACTATGTAGTGTGTATTTTTTATTTGTGTCTGTACACGATAAGTTATCAATAGAATGCTTTAATTTT